CTCCCAAAAAAATGTATTCAGAGGAGAAATATGAGCAAAAGTAGGTCTTCCCTTGGATATTAAATATTTTATTAATAAGAAATTTTCGTTGTGAGTTTGCAGTATATTCTGAAAGGCAAAAAATAACGTTCACATAAAACTAATAGATTCCAGTAGCTCTATAAAATGATATGCCTCCCACCAAGAAGTATATATCAAATATGAACCGTACTGAAATCCTATATATCAGTAGCCATAAGCATGCTTTTATATTGACTCATATAAATTTGGCCCTTAACGAATGAAGAATGGAGAAGAATGTAGACTGCATAAATGCATGTACCCAGACCGGCAGCAGGAAGCAAAATGATGGGTCGTAAACACGATGACTTTGAAGAACTGGCAATAATGGGTTTCAAATAATGAGAAACTGTCAAAACAAATGGGTAGAAGATTTGGAAATCATATCCGAAAACAGGAAGCTGTCCTGTCAACACAGATAATTCGCAACTTAAACCAATACTTTGAGGAGCTTGTCCCTTAGATCATTCCAGACAGAAATATCCTGTGGACATGGAGCGTGGACAGCGTAAGGCTGTAGGAACATTAAACAAATGCATGAAACATGTCTATTCCTTGTAAACTTTACCGGCCAAGAGTTTGATCCGTGTTATTTTGTCGGTTATGCTCTTGGAGATATTGTATTGTTATTGTGTGTGCGTGGGAAAACAATTTCACGGATGTATGGACATGTACAAACAATTTCTTCTGTCGAGAAGTTAAATGATAATAATCTCATATTCTGAGTGGGCTAGCTGTAACATAGTTGGTTGAGGCATTATGCCACAAGCTACAAGGTGGCGGGTTCGGATCCCGATGTCATTGGATTTCTCAATTGCCCTAATCCTTCCAGACGCACTGTTGCCCCGGGGTGAATTCAGCCTCTAACAGAAAAGAGTACCAAGAATCTTCCTGAGGGCTAAAGGGCGGCCGGAGCTTAAAACTGATAATCATACCGCTATCTGTGAGCCGGTTGTCTATAAAATGTAGGAACCCCGACGTCTCACAATCCTATGGACCTCCACGGCCTGTTACAGGGACAGCTTTAACCTTTTTTTTTTTTAATCGGCTATTCTAATAACTCAACACCAAGGAGATAAAGATAAATATCTTTATACAGCTAACATGGACCCAATCTTAAAAATACTTGTATTAAAATCCTTCATATTTCCAGCTCTAAAATGCATCGTCAGAAATCAATACAGCTGGCTTAAACCAATCTGAGAAAGGGTAGGTCTAATTTCGTCAAATATTTCGAGGTAGAGAGTGCAATTTCAATCATACAAGTGGGATTTGGCATACTATACCAAACCGTAGTCGTCGTCGTTGTTGTAACTGTCTGCGATTCATACGGACGGGAATTGAAAGTGTTCCGTTGGTAATGAGAGAATGCCATTACCTACACAGTTCCTCTACTGGTAATATAACTCATCGGTGAAAGTAATCACTGGATATTCAACTTTAAGGTCGTACTTAAGCTCTTGATCGTACCTAAAATTACCATAGAGAATGAAACATTATATTCATTGCTACTCATCACTAGACTTTTTTTTAATTGCCAGTGGGGTGGGACTAAGTCCCTTGTACTGCGGCCACTTCTGGCCTATTTTACCAGCCCCAGATGATAGGTGAGGGTGATTGTGGAGCAATTGGTGGAATGAAGATTGGCAGGGGAAACCGAAGTGCTCGGAGAAAACCTGCCCCAGCCACACTTTGTCCACCACAAATCCCACTTGACCAGACCCCGGGATCGAACTCGGGCCGCCGCGGTGGGAAGCCAGCGACTAACCGCTTGAGCTATGGCGCGGCCTTACTAGAAGTTACTTATTTTTGTAAACGTATTCTATTTATTTGATTTGTTTCATTCTGGTCCGTCACACTAATAATACTATAAAAAGAAGTTAAATTTATTTTCGTCCAGTGTGACTGGTTAATATTTTTTTCTTATTTCAATTATTCCTGCCCTTACATGTTTCGGTCTTCAGACACCATCTTCAGAGGGACACCTTTACAACAGTAAATTTGTAGACACTATTACAGTATTAACTTTTAGAACATGTACTATAATAGTGGCTTCTGATTGTGTTGGTGTAAAGGTGTCCCTCTGAAGATGGTGTCTGAAGGCCGAAACATGTAAGGGCAGGAATAATTGAAATAAGAAAAAAATATTAACCAGTCGCACTAGACGGAAATATTTAACTTTTTCACTTAAAGTTCAATTAATTCCACGAATAGAGGACTGACCGTGATACTGCTGCTCAGGCCTGAAGCTCTGCAGCGTATAACTTACCTTCTTCTACCACATTCATATGTTGGTTCTGACTATGTGATAGTTTCTGTGGAAGTAGACCAGAGAGCAGAAGAAGAGAAAAAAAGTGCTGTCTGGTTGACTGAATAGAGACACTTTTAACTTCCCAACAATATTGCTGAAAGTGTATTGGGTAGCTTCCATTGTAAACATAGAAATATATCTACTTGGCCTTGACGTACTAGTTAAATAGTTCAAATTTGTTTTATTCAACAGAATAAATTTGTCTCGGCTCCGTTATTGCGCCTACATTTCGTACTAGGTTCGTTGCTTTAAATCATTGTTTCCCAATGTTTTATTACGTTATAGTCCATGTATTTGTCGTCCGTCAATATTGCAGCTCTTGTTTATTCAATACTTAATTTTAATTTTAGCTTAACATTTTACACTTCGACACAACATGTTTCGGTTCCAAACGGCCATTTTCTGGTGACTTGATATGTTACAAAAACCTTATTAAATTATGTTAAAACGGCTACACTGTTAAAATAATACGCTGTAGTTCTCTTTTCAAGGTAAAACAAGATAAAATCCATTAAACTTTATATTAATCCCCTTATTTTGGTGCATTCTATTTCACCTCACAAGGAGTGTCGTCCATTGTACATAAATGTATGCCTGTCCCAGGTGTTTTGTTTCGGCAGCTTGACCTTCACGTTTGTAGCCTACTTTTCAGTTATGATGGCAATATGCCCCTGGTATGCGTGTTTCCTAGTAGTTTCCTCTTAGCAGACTAGTAAAAAGAACACCACACGCTGTGGAGGAAACACGCAAACCAGGGGCATATTGCAGACACAACTGAAAGGTAGGCTACGAACGTTAAGGCCGAGCTGCTGGAACAAAACACCTGGGCCAGGCATACATTTATGTACAATGGACGTCACCCCTTGTGAGGTGAAATAGAATGCACCAAAATAAGGGGATTAATATAAAGTTTAATGGATTTTATCTTCTTTTTCCTTGAAAAGAGAACTACAGCGTATGGTTTTAAGACGGACAAACACAATGTAGCAGTTTTAGCATAATTTAATAAGATTTTTGTAACATATCAAGACACCTGAAGATGGCCGTTGGGGGCCGAAACATGCAGTATCAAAGTGTAAAATGTTAAACTAAAATTAAAATTAAGTAGTAAATAAAGAAGAGTTGCAATATTGACGGGCAGTAAATACATGGACGTTAAGTTAAACAATTGCAATAGGATGCTGAAATACAAAGTTATATTAAGTGCTGGAGAAATTTACCAGAGTCGCCTGATATTGACACTAATGATGGGAACTTTTCTTAAGTGTAGCATTCAACAGTGAAGCAGTCCACATACACTCCACACCACAGCGTGTGAAACCAAAAACATCTAGAAAATATATAGGCACAGTGCTGCCACAGCAACAAAGAGAACACAAGAATACAGTATAGAAGAGCACATTTTGTTTTAAAATTATTTTAACAATAATCCAACTTGATTTTAAAAAAACTTTAAAATTAAACTTCTTGCGTGCTAAGAAAGATTAGAATATATTGCGTCACTGTATACGAATCGTCATGTATACCTGGTGATGGTCCCATCCAGCCGAAAAATATCGAAAGTATTGTCAGATGTCACAGTGACTAAAGACGGAGTTCGGATTGGTAATTGGATTTATTAACCACATACAGATCGTAACTACAAATAATTATTAGACTATTGCTGCTTTACAATTTGCAATCACTCTACACTCATTTCAGTATATTTCCACTGGTTTCCACTCTACGTTTCCTGGCAAAGAATTTATAACACATGAACTGTTAAAGTGTTACTAAATTTTACACTCCCAATATCGACTGCACACACGAAGTCTTCAAATCATACGTCAAGTCCTCACAGGCTGACTTCTTGCACTCTTTTATACTCCTCAAGCTTACTGCTTGCTTGCTGTACTCCTACAGCTTACCGCTGTATTCCAGCTGCTTCCTGCTCAGCTTAGGAATTCTGATCACTTATATAGACGCGGCACGACCCAGACCTACAGAAAACTCATCACATGATCGCTATCCAGCCAGCCCATTGGCTCTCTGGCTGAATCTACAGAAAACATATATCACGTGACCGCTACTTATTGTTGTGTGGCGTCACCACGGACACAAAACACAGCTTCCCTTATTGTTGCATGCGTGTATTTCGGGCGTGGCCTAGAGATGACGTCCTTCGATTGTTGCATGTTGGGACATATTTAGGGAGCTGTGGCCTGGCAATGGATATTCAAGTTACAATATGAATGGAAACATGGACAAAGCGGTGTCTCAACCAACAACCTACGAAGTATTGCGTTTATGGGACTGTATTACACATAGGTATAAAGCGCTCAGCTGATGCAGCAGGATTCTCAGACACTCTGTTGTGTTTAATGAGTATTTCCCTAACTTAAAAGTATCCTGACTTTATTCTGCCCTGTTTATTGAGGGATATCCAGGCAATGCATAAAGCAGCAATCATTTCGCTCTTTGCCTGACCTAGTATATTGTACATAATTGTAAGATATTATATATAATATGTAATTTAATATTCCACCTGTAACATATATAACTTATTTGAAGTGTTTAGGATAAACTCTGACTTCTTGAAGCATTTCCTTGTCCTTTTAATCCTGTTTTCTGTTTTCTTTTGCCCCGCCAGATAGAGCACGTTACGAAGGTTCAGTACGTCTGGCGAACCTTACTGCATTGCGGGATAACATAGCTGCCACAGGGCCTGGTCGTACTCTTCAGAACGTACTGGAAAAGCAGGTAAGAAAATATCTCAGCGTTTCTCCGACGTATGCACTATAACTGTATATGTATGTATAGCTACTCAGGATGGGCTGTTGTCTGGCCTAGCTCCATGTCTGCGAGCATTCTCTGGTCTACACTGTCATAGACTCTACGGCGACAGCCGTTGTGTCTGAGGTCGGTGCTGTATGGCAGCCTACACGCCACTCAGCGATATTGTGGAACTACCCACGCTTAACGGTGACATTCATTAGTTACGTTTCATAAGCAATGACAGTAGAACAGCTGAGACGCGTTTTCGTCTCACTTCCCGCATCTGAATGCTCAGAAACTTCGCTGGAAATTGTCTCTACCGGCCAAACAAGGCTCATAACTGGGCTTTGGCGTTCTCCGACAGAAATGGTGAAAGGCAAGATTTCAGAAACACTTCTGTAGCTTTACATTTTTAGTGCTTATAACAAGATATACAGATATGAACATGAAACTTCTGCCTTATAAGTCTTAGACATGCCATCTTTTGGCATTTCATGCCATCCGTTTGCAACACCCAGAAGAAAATTATAAATTGTGGAAAATTATGAAAAGAAGATAATACGATTTGCTTCATTCTGGTCCGTCACACTAACAATATCATCATTATCATCATCAGTAATCTGGCAGACGACAGGTCCATAGTCTCTTCCAAAATAATACCTCCACTTAATGCGATCTAGAGCTTTCTCCTTCAAATGACAGTATCTTCTTCTGTTCCCAAGGTCATCCAGAATCTTCTTACCTCTTCTTCCTCGTCTTCTTGTCACTTCTATCCGCCCCTCTATCTTTCCCTCAATAACTTCTTTTAGAAGGCAGTTTCTGCGTAAAACATGACTAACAATATGTATTAAAAATGATAGAACAGTTCCGTCCAGTGTGACTGGTAAAGATTTTTCTTATTTCAATTCCTCATGCCCTTACATGTTTCGGCCCTTGGGGACCATCATCAGAGGAACATATGAAATAAGAAAAATCTTCAGCAGTCACACTTGACGAAACTGTTTTATCTTTCTATAAAAGATAATACCTTTGTGATGAACATCTAAGCACAGACAGAGCTGCATCTGCTAGGCGTTCAAAAGCATCCACTAGCTTAAAATTTAGACCAATTTAAAAATGCAAGATTTGAGATTTTCACGGCGGTGACAATAAAAAATGCCGCCTTCTGGGATGTGGCGCCTTGTAGATCTAGTGTAAACCGACGTTTCGGAGAATCCTCGCTCTCGGATTTTTATACCCTGAAGATGGAGGCGAAACGTCGGTTTACACTAGATCTACACGGTGTCACATCCAAGAAGACGGCATTCTTCAATATTAAAAATGTTGTAGTCGCCTTAATCCGGTAATTAGCCTGTGGCGGGTTATCGAGCTTGTGTTTTGGAGGTCAGGCAGAAGAAATTGTTGACTCCAACTTCTAGGTAATTCGTCACTGTAACATTTCGCAACTATTTTATCAGGTGCGTTTATAATTAGAAGGATTGCAACACCGTTGCTCGTGAAATTTCTTGCTCAGAAGCTGCGCAGAACAGTAAGTTGCAAGCTGTGAAGCCATCCGTGCAGATGTGCACCCCATGCGGAGGGAGAAGTCACGATCACACACGCGTAACAAGTGGACACGTGTTGTTTGGAGAGTCGGCACTCTTCTGCGTCTAATCTGATGCCCATTTGCATGTTCGTGGCAAGTTACACGCTGTCACAGATGCGATTCTCTTGGTGTGCCAACGATATTTATGGAATATTAAAAAAGTAAAGCTATCCCTATACCAGGCCGTGAAGGCCCATAGGGTTGTGAGACGTTAAGGGTCCCACATTATCTAGACAATCGGCTCAAAGATGGCGATAAGGTTGTCAGCCATACGCACCAGCCGCGCTTTACTCTCCAGGAAAATTATTTAATTAATTCCTGGTACTGATTTCTGTTACAGGCTGAGTCGACCCCAGGGCCATAGTGCGGCTGGAAGGATTAGATCAATTGAAAAAACACAATGACCTCATCGGGACTTGAATCAACGACCTTCCAGCTTGTAGCATAGTGCCTCAACCAACTACGCTACCGCGTGCCCCCTGGAGTATTAAAATATATACATGTCTTAGTGGAGGCACGCGATAGCATAGTTGGTTGAGGTACTATGCTACAAGCCGGAAGGTAGCGGGTTCATTTACCGATGACGTCATTGGATTTTTCACTTGATCTATCCTTCCAGCCGCACTATGTCCCTGGGGTCGACTCAACCGCTAACAGAAATAAGTACCAGGAATCTTCCTGAGGGCCAAAGGGTAGTCAGCGCGTGACACTGACAACCTCACCGCGATCTGTGAGTCGATTGTCTACAAAATGTGGGAACCTCGACGTCTCGTAACCCTATGGGCCTCCACGGCCTGTTACAGGGATTGCTTTCCTTATATATATGTGTGTGTGTCTTGGTGACTAAGCTTTGTTGTATGGAATTTAGGAATTCCGTGATAAGGCTGTGCATAACCAGACATTTTGAAGCTTAATTATTGAACGTATGATATGTTTTTAATCCAGGATTTTGTCGTCTGTCGCATTTAAACTCGTCCCTATTAATCTTATTCTTGTTGTGCCATGAAGTTTTATTATGGCCTTCTAGAGGCTTAATTTGCTCCGGAAAGTAACTCACATGTAAGCTCATACAGAAATTTGCTCCGGCCTTCCGGTTAGCATTTATTTTGAGTCAGAGAAAATTAATGAAAGAAACACGCCCCACAAGCTCTGAAATACTAAATCTGTCTGCGGTTTTTCGGCACTGATAATTGTACATTAGCATCGAAACTTTTCAAATGTAGATTGTTCTTAAAAAGGGGAACGTTAATCAGGCAGTATCTGGCTGAAACACTATGGTGTGTTCTGGTATCATTATGTTGCGAACTGATGAACATATTAGCTACTGTAAGTTAATGTTCAGTGTTACACTCGTCCGTATGTAGCTGATTGTTGTTCAGCTGTAGAGCATATAGAATTTCTTTCTTTTTGAAATTTGAAAATTTAATTCCATCCTCACACAAGTTTGCCACTGAATCGTCCTTCATTTGTTTTTGTAATTCGCATAAGGGGGGGGGGGGGAGTCCAGTTGGGTCCACTCGGCACGTCGGCCACTGATTGGCCTATTGAACCCGCCCCGGGTGATTATGATGATGGAGAATTTGGTGGAATGAATATTGTCAGGAGAAACCGAAGTACTCTGAGAAAACCCGCACGCTCTAAGTGTTCTCAGTCTACTATGTCTTCGCCGGTTGTCTGGTAACGGCCTTCAGCGCCATAGATGCCTCAGCTCCACTGGTCAGCGGCTTCTGACCTCGCTGGCTTGTGGCTATCTCACAACTGAACTCGGTATTGCTACACAAAGATTACAACAGTAGGGGCTGCCCCACCTCTCACTCCGCCACCACCGGAGACTGTTTGCGACGACCCTCTACAGGTCTCTGTCCCAGCTGCTAACCGCAGACTCAAGACTCCGCTAGATTGACTTGCCTGTGTTCCGAGTCTCCAGATATCGCCTCTGCACGGATCCAGAGAGAACACCGCTTTCAGCAGTTCCTCTGTTGTTGTGTATACATGTTGCTGTGGAAATGTGGCGCGGATCGCATAGTGAACACCGGGCCATGTAGTGTGCTGTTCCCTAGCAACGGCTGCCTCAGCTGGCTTCACAATCTTGGCTTTCAGCAGATATATCACATTAATGCCTCCTTAAGGCTCTTTGTCCCGAGTAGCTTACAGACTTATTGCCATTTTCTTCTTTTCTGATCTGGGGGGGGGGGACANATTCCGGGAGTGGTTGGAGCTCTTGCATCTCTGGTTCTGTGTGGCTGTGTGCAGTCTCTTATTTTCCATGGTCTCTGGCCGGTTCTCCACAAGTTACTGTCTCTGACTTTGCGGGGTCTGATAACCCGACTATTCGTTTTGACATCTCACGGTCTCGTTGGCATTTCCCTTGCTTCCCAGTGGTAGCTGAGCCGGACGTCTCTTCTCTAACGTCGGTCCTGTAGGGTACCTCGTACAACACTGTCCTTGGGCCTCCTTTTCCGTTGGTTAACTCGCTGCTGGTTCCTGGTCCCTAGATCGGTCGTCCGGTGCTGCGGTACGAATAGGAACGCTGCTTCCAACAATTCCTCTATTGTTGCGTACATCCCCTTTGCTGAGGGAACGTAGCGCGGACTGCATAGAAGACACCGAGTCACTTGTTATTACCATGTTTTTCCCCAGTAATGGACGTTTCTTCTGGCTCCGCATTTCTTGCTATAAGCAAATATGCCACAATGTTAAGTGTTGTAAGATGAGTGTTTCTTCGGTCACTTGATGCAGGTGAATGGGAATTGTTGGGGGGGGGGGAGATTTTTTGCGAAGTCGTTCAGACGAGCCTAATTCCACTGGGTAGACAGTTGCTGGAAGAGTTTAGAGGAAGGATTCACTAGTGGTCGCTCTCGCATATCTGTGTCTAAAATTCACATAAAACTTTGGTTTGCATTGGACGGATGGAAACAGAAGCCGCCCGACAGACTTCGGTCCGCCCNCGAAGAATACACGGTGCCTAAACCCAGAAGACAACTTTCTTCAAGTATATATGTTGTTTATTCGGTTATTCGTTTACGATTATTACGAAGGCAAGGTCTTGGAACGGATGGAATTATTTAAGATTACCGTCTTGGACATTGGCTACTACACAGAAGTAGCCCATGATGACGAATGTCGGCCGAGTTTCTGCCTAGCTGTCTCAAAGTTACAGGTCAGTTGTATTGTCGCTGGGCTGGCACGTTCGCTGACAGTGGGCGGCACCGAAGTCTGAGGGCGTGAAATTAGTTCTGGTTCCAACTGTAATTAACGCGCTATAACGGAAATGTCTTCTCTTCCTTTCGGTGAAAAGAATGAGTACAAAAGCAATGACGTTTTTATCTGTGGGAGAACGGACAAGAAACGCCTCCAGCAGTTTGTGTTTTGTTTCGCAATTCCTGCTGCAAATGAAATA